GAATCCAATATAAAACTTAATTTTTATCGTCAATTTTAAATAATGTTTTTTTTTAATAATTGTCATTTAATAATTGATTTTTAATAATTGTTGTTTTAATAATGTGATTTTTTTAATAATTGTTTTTAATAATATAGATGGATAGCTTGTAATAATCAATATGATCTGCATCTGCAAAATCAATTTTCATTTTTAAACTCTATTTTAAAAATTAACTTGACTTGTTGAACAAAAATAATAAGGTTTGTGGGACTAAATATTAATATGGTGAAACAAAACATAACGGAAAATTTTTGCAGATCATTTTTATTTGGGTAGGCGAAAGCTTCGGTGTATAACTAGTACAAATTTAGAAGCCGTTTTAGGAATTTTGTCGAATTTTATGCGCTATAAATACATGTAATTATTTGATCGATATTATGTTGTTTTTTCTTCTCTTCTTTCTCTTCTTTCCTTTAATATGAAGCACCTCCCCACGGAATTAATTATAGAAATATTCAAGTACATCGAAATTCCTATTTCGCTTATTCTTGTAAATAAAGAATTTTGTCGAATTTGTACCAGTGCTGCAGCAAAGTCTGTATGGGCTTTGACTAAATTTGGAAGGATCCATGTACTATTCTTTTCAGTTTTACTGGGGAAAACATTTATTACAGTTGATGTTGTAAAATCTTTATTAGCGTTAAAAGCAAATCTATCCAGATATTTTATTCAGAGGTTATTATTACAATACGGCCAGTACGATCAAGATTTGATTAAATTAAAATTACAAGATAATAATAATAATTCCCAAGAAATTAGGTATAGGATATGAACAGTTAAACAAGATTAATCCCCGATTGATTTACACTTCAATTACTGGTAAGTAGCAACTATTTTTTTTAATATTATCTATTTGTATAGCATTTTGTGAGAATTCACAAATTTAAAAAAAATTTTTTTTTATCATAAAAACTTTACTGAAATAAAAAAAAATAAAGGATATGGTCAAACAGGTCCTTATGCAAACCGTGCTGGATACGATGTGATAATTGAAGTAATAGAAATATTTATTGAACGTTTGATTGATTTATTTGATAAATTGAATGAATGAATGAACGAATATTGTACATGTATACACTTCTTAGGCAGAAGCAGGTTTGATGCATATAACTGGTGAAGAGAATGGTCAACCAGTCAAAGTTGGAGTTGCTATCACAGGTAAACAATTTATACAGACTTCAAAATAATAATTATGGCATTGTAAAAAAATATTCAAAAAATTAATCTGCAATTCTTTATTATTAGATATAACTACAGGTATTTATATAATAGATAGAGAGTAATGAATTTTCAATATTAGATAAAATCAACATTAGTCCTTTATTAACCCACAATAGGTTTATATGCACATGGAGCAATCATGGCAGCACTTCTTTTAAGACAACGTACAAACAAAGGTCAATGGATTGATTGTTCATTGATTGAAAGTCAAGTGGCGTCATTGGCTAATATTGGTAGCAACTATTTGATAGCAAACCAAGAAGCAAAGCGTTTGGGTACCTCGCACCCATCAATAGTCCCATATCAAGTATTTCAAACAAAAGATGATTTTATAATGATTGGAACTGGAAATGAAAAACAATTTAAAATTTTATGTGAATCAATTGATAAAGTTGAATTGATGCATGATGAAAGATTCAAAACCAATTCTGATAGAGTTCAAAATCGCAAAGAATTAATTGAAATTTTAAAAGAGAGATTCCAAGAACATACAACTGAACATTGGTTATTGGTTTTTGAAAAAAATAAACATTCTATTCCATTTTCATCGATTAATAACATTCATAAAACTTTTCAACATCCTCAAATTGTTGCTCGTAAAATGGTTCAAGAAGTTGAGCACCCAAAAGCTGGAAAAATCAAATTAACAGGTTTTTAACTAATATTCATCTAATAGTCAATATATATAGTAAAAATCGGATTAAATGTACTTTTTATATATTCATTAGGTGCACCAGTTAAATATAGTGGTTATAAACCAACAATAAGATTACCACCTCCAATCCTTGGTCAACATACACATGAAGTTTTAAAAAATATTCTCAATTACGATGAACAAAGAATCCAAAATTTAGAATCAATAAGAGCTATTTAATTAAAATTGTATTAATTTAATTGATAATTTATTCATAGAAAAAATTCATCGATGAATGAATGCTCAATGAATGCATTTATAAAGAAGTTGAAAGGGTTATTATATAGAAAATATTCATTAATAATATTATTGTTAGTGTTTTCCTACTCTAAGATTCCTTTTTATTTATTTTTTATTTTATTTAACCATTTATGCATGATTGCAATTGAAGCTCCAACTTTTAATTTTTTCCTAATCAAATTCTAGAAAATTGTCGATCTTACAAACGGTTTATCTAATTTTAATCAAACAGGAATTTATTCGTCGTGATTAGTAAAAAAAATTAAATTCATTTCGGGATGTGTGATATTCAAGAGTTCTTATTGAACATAACTTTCTAATTTCTATATAGATTTGAAAAATTTTTACTGTGGCGCAACATCACTGGCAAGGAATAGCAATGATTTTTTTATTCTATAAAAATCGAATATTAATGTGTTGAATATATACAGCGCCTAAACAAAAGTAACGACCACTCCAAGCGCATTAATTATAGAGAAATAAGTTCTGAGGATTATATTTATATAATTTCATGTTGCTAGATATAATAGTTTCGATTATTTTTTTAAAAAAATTTAATACCAACCATTAAATTTAAGTATAGTAGCTAAAACCCTTATCAATACAACTAATATTTAGTTACCAATCATTGCTTTCGATGCATGCTTGGATTCTTCAGGAACATGCTTTCTGTCGAATTTATAAAGTAGAATATTTTTACATTCTTGCAAAGCAGCCTTGAGTTCATTATTAGGTCTTTACGAAGTCACATTTCAAAACTCCTTCCGTAAATCACGTTCATTTTTAGTTAAATATTACTTTTTTTAAACATTCCCAGCGAACCAGCAAGTCTTATTTTATAATTTTTAGAGATTTTTTTTAGATCATCAAAAAATCTTGTTTTTAAATTATATATATAATCTTATATACGTACGTTTTGTGTAGTTAATGCGTTTGGTTGGGGTAGCCGATACTTTGTCCAGATGCTGTATGAAAATAAGAACTTTGGGTTTTTTAATAAAAATATATTGTTAATATTATTTTTGTTTTAGAGATGATTTAAAACAATGATGGATGGAGAGAGTTAACAAAATATAAGAAACGGAAGAAGGATACCTTGTAAAAATTTATCTGAAGAAAGAACCAAACATTAAAGAGATACATGCACATTCATTATTTTTAATTACACGTTGCTCATATCTTAAGGCTACTTTCTCTTCAAACCGGGCAAATAAAGCAGATGAATATCACATTTTTTAAAGATTCCAAATATAAATGAATCAGTCTTTATAATCATTTTAGAATAATAATAAGTTTTAAAATATCTTTTATATTCACTGTTGATGAACTTGACCTTCAATTGCTTAATGAACATCCACAGGATCATTTAATTAGATATCCCAAGAAGACTTTTTTATAAAGAATTCAGTTGAGATTAGAAAATTGGTTTCTTGTAACCAAACCTTAAAGCTAAAAAAAAATTTGTCTTAATTATCTCAATTAAATGATTAAAAGAACACATTGCATTAATGATTATTAAATATATGTGATCTTACTTGGGAATTAGCTAGACGTCTGGAGATTAAAAATTATAATGATGAAAACTGCAAAACAAAATTTTGACAAATTGGGAAAATTTTTAATTAGATTTCAGGTAAAATATAAAATTACGCCTTATCAACAAAATTTTCCAATGATGTTATGATGAAGGATCAGCCATAGACTTATTGCCATCAAAAATTATTTATTTTTATTCAAGTTGAAAATTAACAAATTTAAACTAGGGATGTTAATCAGTCCTTAGGGGCCAGCCCGGGACTGGTTTTTTTTAGGTCTGGTCCACCATTTGAGATTTAAAGTCCTCATAAAAAAAGTCCTAGGAAAAATCCCACCGATAATTTTTGTGTAATGGGTCGTGGAATATATCCATGGACTTCAATCTGGATTTCGCGAAGAAGTTGTGGTCAAAGAATACATTGGATGTGGGCGTTATCTTGTATACTTGAAAAAGAGTATCGCAGAAAATCAAGGTTATGAGAAAAACGAAAGGCTTGAACCTCACTCATCAAAAAATGCGAAAATTTAACAAGAAATTAATTTTTATAAAAAGCACCATTTTTTTATAAATATAGGGGCATAAAAAGAATAATAGAAAAAGGTTAATCTTGCTTGTTATTAGCAATCCATAAATAGCAGACGTTTTCCGATAAAGAAAACCATTGCTGATACTAGTCTAGCACCATGAGAAACAACCCGGTCCAGACTTTCCAGGACCGATTAACTAATTTATCTCATACATATATCACATATAACCAAAAACGTGACTGTAATCTCCAGAATAAGAGAAGCTTAAAATAAATAGTAGCGAACAAAATAAAATATACAAATCATAGTTTTACAGACGATAGAAATGATGCATTATTTAAGTATGCATTTATTGATCACGATTTATTATCACAATAATAAGGCAAAATTTCAAATATCAAAAAAAACCGTTGTTTACCGAGTTTTCCGGCTTAGAAAGAAAAAATCGATTTTCCCATGTTTGGGAATTATCATTGTCACAATAATTCCATAATATTAACTATTAAAAGCAAAGGAATGTTATGGGAATTAGTACTCGATTACTATTTTATAATTCTTTGTGATAAATCTGGTAATTGAACAAGCTTATATATATATATAAAGTATCGTCGATAGAATTTTATTATTTCTTCTTTTTAACTAGCTCATGTAGTACTCGGATATCAAATTTTCTTTCATTTTTTCTATGGAAATTGGCTTTGCATGTTACTTCAGACATATATATATATATTCTCTTCTTTTTATATTACCTAGCATGTTATATTGAGGTCAGTGTGAGGATCCTATAATCAGCAGACAAGAATACTTTAACATATTCTATTTATAGTAATATAGGCAGTTTCTATTGTCCGCCCTAGTTGTGTCACATTCATACAATTTCTTTGGTAAATTATCCTATCGTTTGGGAAAAATATAAATAAAATGCAATTAATTTTATCTTTATATTTATTTATACACACATACATTTTTTAATTAATTATTAAAATGAATGATTTTACTAGTGAAGCTTGTAAAGATTTTGCTCGAATGCTTGAGAGTGAGGAAGGATATGATGTAAAAATTTATGTTGACGAAGAACCAAACATGGAGGAAATCCATGCTCACTCGTTTGTTTTAAGAGCTCGTTGTCCATACTTTAAGACTGCCTTTTCCTCAAACTGGGCAAAAAAAGAAGACGGTTATTATATATTTTATAAACCGAATGTCACAGCTTCAGTTTTTAGAATTGTTTTAAGGTAGGCGAACTAAAATTATATCACACACACATATTAATAAAATCAGAATATCATAAGTTAATTCATCGAAAACTTTTTTATTGTATTTCTTACTTAACTAGACATTGGTATAGTGGAGATGTTGATTGGTCCAATTATACAGAGGATGATATCTTCCAATTATTGATTATAACAGATGAGTTTGGTCTACGATTACTTAATGAACATGTAGAGAATTATCTGATAAAAAATCATTTAAAATATTTGGAGGAAAATCCAATTAAAATACTTCAATTTGTTGACAGTCATAACTCATTTACTAGTTTAAAAAAATTATGTTTGAAGAAGTTATGTTCTAATGCAAAAGAATTTTTCAATTTGGATGTATTTCTAACAATAGAAGAGTCTATTTTATTAATGATACTGAAATGTGAAGATTTAAATAATATCAAGGAGATAGAGATTTGGGACAGTGTACTTAAATGGGGTCTAGCAAGATTCCCAGAGATTGAAAATGATGTGAAAAAATGGACTCCACAGGATTTTATTAATATGAGGGATACTTTAAAAAACGTCATTCCATTAATCAGGTTTCGTGAAATATCCGGAAAAGATTATTTTGATAAGATTAAACCTTACAAGAAAATCATAGAAAAAGATTTTAGGGACAATATTTTACGTTATTACATAGTAAATGATGAAAAGTCTCTTTCAAATTTACCATACAGATGTCCAGTTATTAATTCAACGTTAATCGATCAGAAACATGTTTTACTTTTTTCAAGTTGGATTGACAAGGCAGGCAAATTGTATGACTCTGTTGAACAAGTCAAATACAAATTTGTGCTTTTGTATCAAAGTAATAAAGAAGGACTCGAGGTTTCAAGGTATCATCAAAGATGTGATGCAGTAAGTAAAACTCTGACGGTGGTAGGAATACAAAATTCAGATCAAATAATCGGAGGGTATAATCCGCTCGATTGGAGTGGTTATGGATACAAATCAACATTAGGTAGTTTTATCTTTAATCTAAATAACAAAAATGATGTCAACACTGCAAAATTCAGTTATGTTAAAGATAGTTCATTTGCTGTTTATTGTGATACTCTTTATTTGCCTACCTTTGGTGCAGGTCATGATATTTTTTTAAGTGAAAATAGTTCTTCAGGTAGTAGTTCGTATAGTTACAATAATATTTATATACCTAAATCCTTTAATATTGGTACATTCGAGGTTTTTCAAGTAATTGAAAAAAAATGAATCAAAATCAAATAAATTATATTTATTATATTATATTAAATCATTCTATCTATAACTTTGTCCAAAAAAACTCCTTCAATAATGGGTCATACATTTACTAGCAATCTCCAAAATTATTTTGAAGTGGAAAAATTATACACAATAATTACACATAACACTAAAAACTTGAATTAATTATTTAAAAAAATTAAATTAGTTTGGCACTTTTAGCGTGTTTCCAGATTTCTATATTGGTTAAATTGAGACGATAATGTTTGGCTTAACAAAAAAAAAATTTATTTGTATTCTTTATCCGAAGCAGATTCCCACTCCTCCCTAAACAGCTGGAGGAGGTTGTGGAATCGGTCTTTATCAAATTGTTTACCAAGAGCATTGAATTTGTAGCAGTCAATCGGATGTCGTATTATTTTCACTTTCTAATCTATGGCATATGAAAAGTTGGATTGTGCGAAATTATCCAATCAAATTTGAATATTATTACATCGGTTCATATGGCCTATCATAATTGTCAAATAATTGGAAACCCCTGTAAAGTGATGGGTTATGTATATAAAAATGAATATCATGGTTTTAATTAATATGAAAAGGCAATAAAGCATGTTGTGCTTGCGACTGTTCAAATAAAATTCCAAAATTACGTGAATCTTTTCAAGCTCTCTCTAAACTAGAGCAGGATATTTTCTTAATGGCTCAGCTAATACTGATGGATGGTGGTAAATGAGTGTGAGAATTGCAGCCTCTTATATTACATTGATTTTGAAATTTCTTTGCGACTTGATGTTCTTTGTTGCAATCTGCCTCATATTAATAATATATGCAACGAGAAAGATGATTTAATCACGAATGGTAAAATGACATTAATATATACATCTATATATGTGCGCACGTAATTTAATAAGACAAAGCATAGTCGAATTGAAGCATCTACTCGAATGTAACATAAATAAAACATTAACGCTTGATTGTTCCTAGTACTATTGTTTTTATTTTAAAAAATTTCCGTCCCAAGAAAAAAACATAATAATTTATTCTTTAAATCTTTAATACGCAAGAGGTAAGAAGAAATTAATCATTTCCAAGCAAGTATTTGCACGTATAAAGATATTTGTTTTGCAATAAATTTTTTTTCATAAATGGGAGTTGTCTCTCGTTTCAAGTTGCAAAATCAGAGTTTGATGATAGTATTTGTAAAGCAGAAATGTGCATAGGTAAAATAAGACTTTATTTATATATTTAATGAAGAAAGCCAAGATTTCATGAGGACCTTTTTTCGTAGTGATTGGTTATAGATTTCTTGCTTTATGGTATAAAAAAAATGAAACCGATGAAAACATCTCGACTTTAACATTTGTGAGCCAAATAAAGGCTTAAAGTAGGAGAAAGCTCGTTATTATAAACTAAAACTTTGTTGATATATATGATTCACCAACAACAACGACACCTGGCCAAAAAATTTCTTTAACAACAGCTCCTGGTGCACCAAATGCTTTACGTCAACGCTTACCACCACCAATTAATACAATATCAACAACATCATCATCAACGAGTCAAAGTCTCAATGCAAAGCATCTTACTCCGTAATAAACTCTAATTTATAAAACTATTCGGGATCAAGTGACTCGAGCTGTAGTATACTATAACTTTTGGGGAACAAATGCTAATGGTAAAAACCACATGATCAAAAATGGACAGATTGTAGCAGTCTTTGCTCAATACATAAAAATTGATTTTTATTATAATAAAAATAACAGGCTCTCCGTACCCACAAACTAGAGGCATTACACTACAAATGTATTCAAGAACGAGAACGATATCTCTCTTTTTCATGAACGTAATTTTTACCAAAAAAAACAAAAAAAATTTTATTGAAAAAAATATTCATATCAAATCTACCTTGGGCTGTTGCCAATAATGGCGATGATGATAAATATAAAGGAAAGAAGAGATGGTGATGTAAATGTGAAGATATAAAGGATTAACAAAGCTAAAAATAGTTTAAAAATAAGAGAGGTTGGCATAAATTGCTATAAATTGTTGTTATCAGAACAATTAGAAAAAAGAAAAAGGAAATTATTTGGAAAATATGAAAAAAAAGATGTGGCTACATAGTTATCAATGATACTACTGTTATTATCATTATTATCGAATCATCTATATGTTTCCTTCTCTTTCAAAAATAATTTTTTTTAGTTCCTGCTCCAATCAATTTACAAAATAAGGAAGTTTCAAAAATTTTAAAATCTCAATTATTATCAATAACAACATCTTCTTCACCAACATCATTTTCATCATTAAATAAAAAGAACACCCTTATTGTGGGATATTTGATCTTACTAAAATAATACCAAATTCAATATTGGAAAGTTCCTCAAAACTAACTACACTGATTGATGGCACTGGCTGGACTAATCTGGAAGATATTGTTAAAGATAACGTTGAATATAGTGTTGATGGTAATAATGAAAATCAGTATGAAACCATCTTTATTAACTTGTAAAAAATTATTCTAGGTTTTCATATCTCATATATATTATTAGATTTTCTTAATATTAATCTGTCTTTTTTAAAAAAAAATTTTAATAAAAGAAACATTTTTAGAAGGATACATTCTATTCACCGCCACTTTGGAAAATTAGAAATTCCAATGTAATGAAAATAATTTTCTTTCTTGATCTTTTGCTTGAACTTTTTTAATCAAAAAACATCCATATATCTAAACATGTTGCTGTTTCTATTAGGATATTTGCATGAATTAAGAGGACTGATTAGGAATACACATATGATTCAGTAATCGCAATATTAGCATATCTACATGAATCAATAAATGCATTGTTTATTGAACATCTTTTGTGATGCAGTTGTAGAAATCAAATCATTTGCAGGAAGGTAACATTATATTACATTTGCATTAATGTCGTGTATTCATCAAAATCGAATTTGATTTATTTCATTATTCATTGACCACGAAGTTATCTATATTTATCAGGTGGTGGTGGTGATAGTGATATAAATAAATAGTTAGGATTTAAATAAAGACGTAAAAGGTTAGGGTTGAATCAATGAGACAAAATCAAAGAAAGAAAATAATATAATCTAAAAAATTTAACGATTGGTAAAAATAAATAAATATTTATTAATTAATTGATTAATATTATTACTACCATGAAATAAATAAATAAATAAATGCTATATATGTTGTAAAGTTTAAATGTTATATTTACAATCTTTGAAATTAAAATAACTAATTTTTAAGAAAAGGTAACTTTATAAAATATATTAAGTTTTTTTTGAAAATTTATTTTCTGATTCGGTTGCAATTGCATTCAAATTTTCAAGACTTAAATTCCAAGGGGAAGAAGGACGATTGTAAATGAAATTTTGTATATTATTATTATTATTATTGCTATTATTAATATTATTGTTATTGGTAGCGGAAGAAGAAGAAGTAGTAGTAATGTCATTGTTAATTCCTCCTATAACTGGCAAAACTTTTTTTATATTGCCAAAGAATTTAGGATCATATTGATGATGGTGAGGATGATAAGAAGTTGTTGCTGTTTTCGCCAAAGGAGCAATTATTGAATCTTCGTTTGTATTGTTGTTGTTATTATTATTATTATTAGCAGTAACAGTAACATTTGGATAATTTAAATTATTTCCTAGCATCATTTTTTCCACGGTCATTTCATCAAAAGGTGTACCAGGTCTTGATGTTGGAGGTGTACTATGAGGTGTACTATGGGGAGAAAGATTTGGTGATCTAGCAAATCGTAAAAGTGATTGAAGTGTTGTTGTTGGATTATTATTATTGAATTTATCCAAAGATTTATCAACTGATGGTTTTTTAATAATATTCTTTTCATTCTTTTCATTAACACCATCAAGAATGACATCTTTACTTTTAGATTTTTGAATTATATCATTTTTTTCTCTTAAACTAGCCGTGTCATGATGTATTCCAAATATAGTTTCCATTTTATTTACTAAATCCTTTTTAAAAATTTTTTAGAAGGAATAAAAAAATTTTTTTTAATCATACTAATACTATATAATAATAATTTTGTATGCATAATAATAATAACTACAGAATTTCTTTTTTTATATGGGGGTTTTGAAAATCCGAGCTTCAACCAAAATTGTTCTTTTTTTAAAATGATTGAATCTACTATATAAGGATTATAAATGTACCTGACCCCTTAACACACCAACAAGGAACTCTTTCTTTGGACGATTGAAGAAATCAAAGTACAAGTGTAACTAACTCACCCCGTATCATTATAATTGAGGTAACATCCGATTTTGGTAAAATTTGGGGTCTATTTTTATTAAAAGTCTTATCCAAAATCAGGTAAAGTAATTTTTGCGTCATATGAAATTATGGGCAAAGCAAAAAATTTTAAAAATAGAAAAATAGGCAACGGTTAAAAATTGTATCATTATATTGTTTCTCAGCCCATATGGGACATGTGAACATTTTGTATTATCAAAATTTCGGTTCAAGGTTCAATCATCACAAACATAATAATAATAATAATAATAATAATAATAATCATATTATGGATTTAACAATTAACACCTCATTTGTTTATTTTTTCTTTAAGTAGTATATAGAATTACTCCTATATAAAAATAATTAATATGAAACTAATTTAGATCAGGCCCACTATGGAATCAAGTATTTGAAGAAAGAACAAGGGGAAATGACTGCTCCTTGTGTTTTCAAAATAAATGATACTTAGACACTTGAGGCTTATCTAAGGAAAGAAATAATTGCTTATAAAACTTACCAATAAAGAAAAATCATAACCAATAAAAGGAAATTAAACATAACCTAGAGAGGAAAGAAAAATCGGAAGAAAAATAATTTATTACCTAGCTCAGGTTAATTATTGGTATAGGTAAAAGTGCAATGGTCCGCAATTTATTATTGTGTGTCATTGGTTTTGCATTGTTTTAATTTGGTAAATATTTCTTTTTGTCAGTAATATTTTTTTTCTTTTTGTAGATTTAAATTTTATTTTTTTTTTATAATATTTTTTTCTAAAAAGCTTTTGGTTGAAAATTCAACAAACTAGAAGTTTTTTGAAGATTTACAAATTTATGTAATATACTTGAGCCACTAAAGGAGACAAAAATTTGTGTAGAGGCTAAAACAACTAATATAGCAGACTGCTATTTACAACTTTGTTATGTTGGTGCTGCAGTAAAAAATTTACCCGAAGTGAATTTTGTCAATATTGTATCAATACTAACCCTAGAGAACTCACTGTCCTCATTCTTTCTGGACAAGTTTCAGATTTCAAAATCACTTGTTAGTGGGCAAATTTATATTCATTTTTATCAATTATTTTTTTAATCATCATTCTTAACATGTTTTTTTTCAGTTGTTAGTTAATTCAACTTTTTTCTTGTGAAGTTGGTGATACTTTAGTTAGTGGGCTGAAATTGCCAACATTAATTGCCTAAACTTGGGTGAAACTAATTTAGTTTTTTAAAGTAGATTGATTTATATGGGGCATACTGCAACAAAACCAGACAAAGAGAACATTGGTATTACCAAGAATTTCAGGGATCAAAATTTAGTAATGTGATTATTAAAATCCCCCATTTGTTATATTT